AAGCCGCCGTAATGGTAGTCGCTATGTACATCGTCGCCTTTATACACATATCCTGATATCTCATTCCGCGTGTTGTATATCCCGTGCTGCTGGTTTTCGTGCCGCTGTTCCCATGGCCACGAGGATCCATGGGCTTGTTGGATACTATCTCGTTTCCTTCCCTACTTTTGCAAGCGCGTAACCTTGGCTGCGCTATGCTGCCGGTTGCCCCAAGTCTGTTGTTGTGACTCGGTATGTGGTTGGTAGAGTTTGAAACTGGCCTAGGAGGCCTGTCTCAAGCATGAAGTGCACTGCTTTACATAACTGTTATGTTCATTACTCCAGTATCCTGTTTTCTGTTCACCCACCATACTTATTGTACAAGATTCGCTTCCAGTATCTCCCTTCTCCCCTGGGTCAGACATAAAAAAAAATAAAAAAAAAAGAAGAAAAGAGGGGGAAGAGAGGAGCAGACAGACACAGAGAAAGACAGGTACAGAAAGTATCATGCAGAGAACACTACACAGTGGGGAGCTGTCTGACAAGTCCGTGTTTTTTCTCAGCAACATGAAGACTGCCATTCCCAGGAGCAGTGCCAAAGTACAAAGTTTCGCATCTTGTGGCCTGACAAACGCTCGGTACCTGGAAATAACGGGGCTTGAACTGCATCCTCAACGAACCAATCAGATATGGGGTTTCCGAGAGCGTCAAGGAGCTGCATTTGAACCATTACTCTGTCTCTTAGCACAGTGCCATTAGCAGTCAGCACTTCAGTAAGCCCAAGATTTCCCGCATAGTAGGGGGTGTGGCCAATAGCAAGCAGATCATATGGGTCCAAGCTTAGGAAGGACGACCCCGTATCATTGATGAAAGTAATGATGTGGACTAGGTTCGGATCTCCGCCAAATAGAGGAAGGAGTCGGATGAGTGCAGCCATCTGATCAAATTTAGCATATTTTTATACATACAGAAAAGTCAATACTAACCATGTGGGTACCATTACCGATGTCGTCATACGATGTATAGTGTGCGAGTTGAGTCTCTAGAGCCTTGAGGATTCAACTTGTTGATCTCTGATAAGTTCATAGCCTCTGTATAGTTACGTCTGGCTGGTTACTCTCTTCCAATACCCGAGGCTGCTCACTTGTTCTCGATGCCTTAGACTCCGAGGACACGGGCGCGGAGCTTCCAAGCTGAGTTCCTAAGCCCTGTCCAGAAAGTATTAGATTAATATTAGATTATTCAGTGAAAGAGAATCGAAAATGCAACGTACCTCTGCCCACTTTGGCTCCATTATCAACTCCTTTGGAATGGCATCCATGCATATGATTCGTCCTCCCGCAAAAACGGTAGACCCGTATCCATATTCGAGTTGCCCTGTCTTGTACATGTGAAGCGCGGCGCGGATATTGACATGCCGGTGGCCTAGACTCTCGTCTTCAAGGTAGGCTTCTAATTGCTGAATCCTTCTTGAGGCCGGGAAGGCTTTTTTGAACGATTGTCTGGATTTTTCGAACAAAGCTTGAATCTCATTCTTTCTGTTCATTGTACTAGGCCAGAGAATCTAGAAAAACCGGGAAGAACTATGATTAGGGTGATTATGGAGTAGGTATGTACTATTAGGAAGGAGGAAGAATGGGATGGCGAAAAAGTGGAGTTTGTGCCTCCATATTATAGGCAGTGCCACCCGCGACCGCCTTATGGTGATAAGGAATAATAGTCGGACCGAGACCAGTGATGCATTTGTTATATTGGATATCATCCTCTATTCCATAGTATCTCATACGTAACTAGTGATTCAACTTAACATGTGGCTTAATTACAGCCCTGTTTTCCACACCCTATGGTCGCATGATTTGCTACAACGGTCTTAACCCTCAATGTTATATTCACAAATCACAGTTATCATCTTTAAAGCACGGCAAATATAACCAAATCCGAGAATATCAACTACGAATGCAACTTCTCATGCAACTCGAAGACAGTCGCTGGGCATGCTGAGATTAAAAGCTTGGCTTTGCACATTTTATCTGGGACCCTTGTCGGGGGTGCAGTGACCCAAGCCTGGGCAATTGAGGTACACTCCCGAATCGCTCCGGCGCGGTTCCCTGATCGCTCCGGACTGCTCAGGGAGCAAAAAGCGGCGAGGACTCGGACTGAAAACAGAAAGGGAAAGTCTCCAGGCTTCCGCAGAAAACATCTACAATAGTAGTAGTAACTAGGACCCTTTCAGCGTGCTGAATCAGCTTTTCACCGCATCTGGCTAACTGCTGCCGCCTTTACTACGCTCACGGTGGTGTTATTATCTTTGTCTCAAACCTACTCATTGTGCCATTGTTCAATTAGTGGGCTTGTGACTACGCTCTTGTGAGTACTACTCTCCGAAGATCTTACCTTAGCCGTAGCATGGGAAGTTCTACTAACATTATCTAGTCTCATGGGTGCAGATATGGCTTTTATTCATTGTGGTACATGGAGATTACATTGCGCTGCAAGTTAATGGCTAAAGAGCCATATTGGCTGGACATGGTATGCTTGACACTGGGTATTGCTTTTGCTCCGTAGGCCGATAGCTAAAGAAAGAAAAGTGTTTGCTATTTGATATGCATGACTTACTTCTCCAAAGGATTTACCAACAAGGCTGAATGAACCCCTGCATTTGCACAAGGGACCTTACTAAGCCATTGGCTGCCAGCGATTCAAGTTCTCACTGTGTTTACTTTCCTCCCCCATTATTCATTTTCTTCGCTGTTTCAGTTTCATTTTGACCTACTGGACTGCTCACAATGGAGGAGGCGGTTGCAGAAAGTCTGCCAAAGCTTGCAAGCCCAGCACCATCACTTCCCGTGGAAGTGTTGCATATCATCTTTTCATATTTTGACTCCCTTGAACTACCTGTCTACCGAAAATGGCGTCCCGTGATGCTGGTCTGCAAGTTGTGGAAGGTCATCGCTGAGATGTTTCTGTACTCTCACCTTGTGTACAAGAACCACACTCGCGACTTCCAGACTATGAGGTAGCCAGTTAAACACATGAGGAATAAGCCGCACCTGCGACAACATATCCGCATATTGGACATGTCGGTGAACACCTCTCGGGACGTAGAATTCTGTTGCTGGATGTTGAATCATGTCGCATGCAACCGCTGTCCAGTTCACAGTGATATATCAATCAATGCTTGAACTGTCGGACATGGAGATCTTTACAAGAATAGCGACTTTTACACTCACTCATTTGAGTCTCCTAACCGCTCCGGAGGCATTAAGCTACAGGTTCTATTTGATCTGTTCGATCTACCAACCCTCCGATACCTTCAGCTTGATCATCCAGCGTGGAATAACAAGGTTTATCTGAGAATGTACTGGGATATAACACTTTGCCAGTATGTAACCGCGCGAGCATGGCGGTCTGAGGGATCAGGCATACATCGGTACCAAAGTGTTGACAGCTTTGGATAAGAGCTCGCTATCGGCACACCATCGAAACGCTCAGATATAAACAGACTATTATGCTCATAGATAGAGAATCAAGTGATTCGTTCATTATCCTACATAAAACGCCTAAGTCCTACACTCCGGCGTTACACAGTAGGGATCATTTACTGTTGTCATCCTACGCAGTAAGCTTTTGTGATGATTGGTTCTATGCCCTTAGTTTTCCGCACGGCCTTGCTTGCTCCTGGAATTTTTCAGACTCCTAGGAGTTCTGGACTGGATCTTAGGATGGCTGATCCTGCTCTTGAGAGCTAGAAGCACGCTCCCAGACATAGGATAATCTCTGGAGCGAATTGAATCTTCATGGGAGCTTAGTTTACCCCACTATCTCTGGGGAGAATTTGGCATGGTAAGAAGCGGAGCAGAAGGAATGATGACCTCGATTCCCTGTTCCATTGATGGTGCCATCGCTTTGTTGAGTTTATTGAGGCTACCTTAGTCAGGCTACTCACCCCTCTGCTCAGCCCCTACTCAGTGATCAGCTCAGGTCTACGCAGTGAGCAAAAAGCGGCGAGGGGTGAGCACTAAAACGGAAAGGGAAAGCCTTCGAGTTGTCTAGAAAATCAAGTACGTATGCGATGCCGCCCCACACCCACGACGTCAGCGAAAATGTGTGTGCGGGCAGATTCACCAGCATCCATACTGCCGCTCATCGCCGCCAACAACTGCAGCCCACTTACTCGTCCCACCGTTCCATCTAGACACAGAGCTCCTACTATACGACCAGAAGCTGCAAATCGACGTGCAGCCTCCATTGGCTATCTCCCGGAGTGAATAAGTCGCCGTGACGATCGACCGGATGGCGGATTCTCTGGCTTCGACTTTGGCGAAATTGAACCTGAACGCTCAACAGTCGAGCGGGTCAGTGTTCGACGCCCGGCTTACTGAGGAGGAGAATGGTACCTATGAGAATCACAGGCCGCGGAAGAGGACGAAGCAGACTGCGGAAGATCTGAAGGCGTCGTTGGAGGCTGAATTTTTGACGCCGTCTTCGAGGTTTAGTACGGAATGGTTGAATCATTTGCAGAGGTCGGTTGTTGCTTGGGTCATCTATGACCTTTTTTCATAATGTGAATGGAATTGGAATGGCTGATGTTCGTCAATCAAATTGCAGGAGATGGGATGTTCCAGCAGACTACACGGACTTGTTCGAGATCGCCCCTACCCAGACTCGTACCATCACCCGCTTCGACCGCGAAGGCCTCGAAGGCCGCGTGACCGGTTACCATGAAGTCACCGTCCCTGCAACCAGCGCGAACGCGAAGAACTCCACATCACTACTCCGTCGACCAGCCGGCCGTGCTGATTTCGTCAGAGGTGCGGCGGGATTCTTCCCGTTTGCGCCAGGTGGACTAGACGGCGTTGAAGCCATTGCGGAATACGAGACCGAAACACAAAATGCTGAACAGTCACGGGCTGGAGGGAAACAACCAGGCCTGGACCGAATAATCAACTTTGGGGCCGAAGGTGGTCTTTTGGAAATTGCGCCGGGTTTCTCGCGTGGATTGAAATTCGACGAGGCGAAGACTAAAGAGACTACTGAGGGTGACAAGGAAGTCGAGCATGCGCTTCTTCAGGAGGAAAGCAACTTACATGTCGAGCAGAAGGAGGAAGAACTTTCGGAGGACGAGGGTGGGGTGAAAGTTGAGGATGAAGAACTTGACGAAGAGGAGGATATTGATTCCCTTCTACCCGTCGAGTTCCCGGCCTTGGAACCCCGTGCTCCTCTGCTGGCTGGAGCTCAAAAGAAAGTGGGCAGAGAATGGGCACACGTCGTGGACGTTAACAAGGATATTCCGAACTTCCGTGAACTCGTTCCGGATATGGCTAGGGAATGGCCCTTCGAGCTGGATACCTTCCAGAAGGAAGCTGTTTATCATCTCGAATCTGGCGACTCGGTGTTTGTCGCAGCGCATACATCAGCAGGAAAAACTGTCGTGGCCGAGTACGCCATCTCTTTGGCTGCGAAGCATATGACGAAGGCGATCTACACATCTCCTATCAAGGCTTTGAGTAATCAGAAGTTCAGAGACTTCAGGAACGAGTTCGAGGATGTTGGTATCTTGACGGGTGACGTTCAGATTAACCCAGAGGCGAGCTGTCTAATCATGACAACTGAGATTCTACGGAGTATGCTCTATAGAGGAGCAGATCTGATTCGAGATGTTGAATTTGTGATCTTCGACGAAGTTCACTATGTCAATGACCTGGAAAGAGGTGTTGTCTGGGAAGAAGTCATTATCATGTTGCCAGAACATGTCACACTGATTCTATTGTCAGCCACTGTTCCGAATACTCAGGAGTTTGCCTCCTGGGTAGGCCGTACAAAGAAGAAGGACATTTATGTCATCTCTACAGCGAAGCGACCTGTTCCCCTCGAGCATTATCTCTGGGCAGGTAAAGACAAGCACAAGATCGTCGACTCCAACAAGAGATTCATCGAGAGCGGCTGGAAGGATGCTGACGAAATTATATCCGGGAGGGACAAACTTAAGGCGCAGAAGGCTGCTGAAGCGCAAGCGCAGTCACAGGCCCAACGAGGAGGTGCTCAGGGTAGAGGGCGTGGGCAGCAACAAGGCCGAGGCGCCCCTCGAGGAAATGGACGCGGTGGACCCCAACGTGGAGGCGGACAGCAACG